GACAAAAAATGAGGCAATGTCCGTTCCAAGGACGGGCGAGACTCTGACCTACTAGTTGGCATCCTAACCTGCTACCTTGAGGCATTTTGCGAAAGTGGGTGGGACTATCGCGAAGTGTTCGGAGCTTCTCACTGTGGGCGAAGTGGAAAAATGTGGAAATTTTGATAAAAGACGACCACGACGCCAAGATGTAGGCGTGGCCGTAGAGGCGGGGCCTGTAATAATGTCCAGTGTGACATGTTCGACCAAGTCGAATCAATTTGAAAAGTCGTGAATTTGGTTGGAAAAGTCGTGACTTCAAAATGAAAGTGGGGTATATTTTTGATTACTCTGCATAATCGTTGCAGTTCCTGCCGAAAACGGAGGAAGAGTGGAATAAGTTCCAGTTCTGCGGCAAGCAGCACTGGGGTTTTTACACTTGGCCAGAGAAACTAATAACGTAAGTTCTCATAATAGTGCGATTGTAACTGATAGGCGAACCATGGCTATCTAGCGGTTTTGTTAGTTTGAAACTTGGGCGCTGTTCGGCTTGGGAGGGGCATTTTGCACTTACGCTAGTTTATTTTGCCAGTTCCTGTGGCTTAAGCGTCTCACCTTGATAAACCTGTTGACTCCTGTCAAGTGTACGCGAAGCTTATGCTGTTGCAGAGTTTTACAGGAATTCACAGATCCCAACAAGTGACATAAATAGTGGTCGATAGGGACAAGCAAAATGCCCCCACCAAGCCGAACTGTGCCAAAAGTCCAGAGTTGAGACTACTTTCTTCAGCTATGCACCGCTCGGAGAACAAAATGCGATTGATAGACACGATGAAGATTTATCGGAGACAGAGCGATTTATTGTGGAGACGTTCCGTGACCCAGAATTTTCGGCCCGCTTACGAGAGCTTTTCGCTGTGGAGGAATCAAAAGAGGATTCATTCAACGCTGTGAATTTCTCGCTTTTCCAGGTATGGAATTTGCCCTTCTTTGAACGTTGTTCAGAAATTTCACGATGGAAATTCTCTTGCAGGGACTTTTCCGATGTTTCAACGATATCCTTTGTGGAGTTTTCAAAGAACATCTGGAGGTGCTCATCATGAGTCCAAAGGTGCTCTTCTTTCAGACCATTTATCCAGGTTCTATGGAAAGCTACGGCGATTTAGGGTAGCGACCAAAAATTGGCGTCGGAAATCGTGGCAGGAATAATAAATGGCTCAAAGCTGTGGAAATGGGGTCGGCAGAAAAAGCTATGGACCTGGCTTGCTCCATTGTTAACGCGAGCGTTTGAAAATATGAAGGTGAGGGTTGTTGACTTCTCATATGATTCATACTTTCTACGCGGTTCAGACTTCGCAATGACGCGCGTTGACGCGCTGCAATTGTAACGGCGCTCCAATTCTATAGACTCGAATGCAGCCGCACCCAAGAGTCGATAGGCACCGGCCGCTTGTGGCAGTATAGGTGAACAGGAAGGCAGACGCTGAATCCATGCAATTTGGTACTCTCTAATTCTTTCATATTCTCTTGAAGCTCCAGCGATCAAAGCCGATCGATACCAGGCTGTGTAATCAGGCAACGCGTACCCTCCTGTCCCCTTTTACTTGTGCAAAACACAAAGACTGCCATCGATGGATTCCCGACTCGATAGGTGTCTTCTATAGGTCATCGCTTTCACGTCTATAGCACTGGAGTGCGGTTGCGACTGTAGCACACGGCGCGCGTATCGCGAAGTATGAACGCTGCCTTAATGTGCTACTGATTGGAATCTAATGTTGTAGGAGGAGGCCATGAGGAATTGGGGCGTATGTGTAGCGACTGTATGTGGATGTTCGGAATCGCGTATGTTGAAACCACTGCTGGATATCCTTTTTGCTCTTGTAAACAGACCAACGGAAAGCGCTTTTGCTGCTCAGTCGTGAGTTCTACACATTTTTTCGTCCTTCACTTTTGTTTGGCGCTTCTCCGTCTATATTCAAGTTGTAAAGGTGCGGTTCATTTCTGGATGATGTCCAATTTTGCAGGCGTCTTTTCCTTTTACAAGGCGGTTTATGCCAGTTTGAATGGCGTACAATCGAGCTATGGAACAAAGTGGTCTCTCTTCTATCCAAATCCGCTGTAGTTCAGCAATATGCCAATCTTCGAGAACGTATGGCAATGTATGTTTCCTTTTGTTATTTTTGATACTTCGTTTTCAACCTTGGGGGGGGGGGGGGAGGAGGAGGAGGGAAGGGGAGGGCGATTGTAGTGTCCGTTTGTGAATACCTGTTCATTCTTGTAAGACTGCGAGTATGAGCGTCATGTTCATTCCAAACCAAACTATTACGTGATGATCATGCTTACAAGAGTTGACATGTTTTACAAATGAAATTTGTAAAACATGTCAACTCTTGTAAGCATGAACATCGTGTAATTCTAAAGAAAAATTGATTTTCTCCAAAGAGGACTCAACTATAAACAAGATAAACTAAGATAAAGCCTATAAACAAAACATTGAGAGTTTGCCATTTTTTTCCAATTCCAGCCGGTCAACAACAGTCAACAGAAAAAATATCGGGTAAATGACAAAATAGTTTTGCCATTTAAGAAAGATTGTAATTAAAACAAAGCGGTCAGCAAATACTTTCTTAGCCTGGGAAAAAGACCACTTAAAATCTTCAAACGTTAAACCTCCGAAAAGTCTCAACGCTTCTTAACACGTTTTTTTCAAAAATTTTATATTGGATCATTTTCGAACGTCTCGCTCCTACCCTTCCTTACTGATGAGCAGAGAATACCATAGTTATCCAGTTTCCGTCTAAGGGCACATGCGAAACGGAAACTGGACTACTTCATTGAAATCAATAAAACAAAGAATTTGATCTAAAAAGAAGAACTAAATAAATAAATAAATAAATGATTAGATGGAACAAGTGAATAAAAATCATGTTTGAAAATTATACCACAGTTTCATACAATAATGTTGTAATCATTAGAAAAAATTAATTAACTGAAGTAGATGTCAAATAACCACCCGTGGTGAAACTCCAGAGTTTATTCCAAAAAAAACTCAAAAGACAGCAAAAGTCTCGAAAGTTTTTTAAAATATCTTATATTTAAAAAACTTTTGAGACTTTTGCTGTCTTTTGAGTTTTTTGGAATAAACTTTTGGAGTTTCACATTGTTATTACACATTCAGATGAGTAATGAGACTCCGGGACAGCACCATAGTCCAAATTAATTATATCACACTAAAATCACACTACAAAAGTGGCTCGGCGAGCTCGCTCCACCTCCACAAGAATTAACAGCTCTTACCACATTTTAATCCTTGTGAAGCCTGAACGAAATTTGTAAACCAGATCTGGCGAAGCAGCAAAAGTGCAAAATGTCCACTCAAGCCGAAATGCGCCTGCAATTTCGTTTTTGCAGATCGCTTGTGACGGCGTCATGGTTCGATTTGCCAACCATCTACTACAGTCCCAGTATACCGGAGTCGTTACGTGCTCCAACCGTAGCCCACTGTATCGGATTGTACAATCAGCATGTGGGTTTATTTCTTTAACGTGGACCCATGATTTGTGTCCTTCGGGAATCGTCCTTCATTACTTCCTTTGAAATGACTTATTTGATGAAATGCTGCAAATAATCTAGTTTCTTTTGCAGATGGGTGCGTGCTGGGAGGAAACTCGGATAAACAATGGGAACAACTGCTCAGAATCCACTGAGCTGGTTGGTGTTTATCCTTCTAAATGATTTGTTCTTTATATCTGTATGAAGAGATTTTTTTAAGAATGGTACTGGAGAGTCGGAAGTGAAACGACATGCTCGCCTTGCTCTAAAAGGAGCGCTATCCTTCACTTTGCATGTTGCCGGACAGTCTCTCACCTCATTGCCTCCATCTATCTTGCAGCTTCTGCCTATATTTTGTCACTACAGTAACGATGTTGGGTAAGTTGTTAACGAATGGTAGTGGTTGAATGGATAAATCTCTTTAG